ATCGTTTGAATTTGATCGATTCCGATTCCGATTCTTATCGATTCCTAAAAAATTCAATATAAAAAAATTAAGTCAAACATTTAGATGTCAAACATTTATTCTGTCTTTTTACAACGCATTCTGTTGCAGCTGAATAACATGAGCAAAAATCAGCAGCCTACAGACCACTGCAAGAGGAATTTTGCCTATGTTTAAAAAAAAAAAAATACCACAGCAAAAACAACTAGATTAATATAAATTTCAAATATTAAAGTGTTAAAGACAAGTAAACAGTCAGTAATAAGATAGGAACAAACAAATCAATTAGCAATATCATAAATAAATACAACTGAACAATTTCAGGTACAGAAACTGCAATTAAAAGCTTAAAAACACTGCATAGTTCCCCTTCAGGAACTCGAGCTGCGTCGAACGCTTTGGGAACGCCCTCGGCGAGACACCGTACTGAAGCCTGTGCGAAATCAGTCCAATAGCGAAGCGAGACGTCACGAGCGGGGTGACGTAAGCAGCCAGGAAGCATAAAGGCACATCCGGCCAGCTCGCCTGTTAGCTTTTGCTCTTCAGCGAGCGCGTCTGTGGCGTGTGTGTGAATGTATGCAAAGCACTCAGTCAGTAAAAAAAGTTAAGCGAGAAAAAAAAGAATGCCAAAATCAAAAAAGAATGTGGCGTTCGGACGGCGTTTCAAGTCGTGTGTTCCTCCTTGCCCACGTTATATCTCGGGTGAGGATACACACGACTCCAGTCCAGAGCTTCCGCCACGAGGAAACTGTACGCCTTGAAGTGGAAACTTTTCACCTCTTGGTGCGGACAGCGACTGCAAGACCTAGTCAACTGCCCAGTTGGTTCAGTCCTGGAGTTTCTGCAGGAGCGATTCTCCGCAGGGTTATCTCCCTCCACTCTGAAGGTTTACGTGGCGGCCATAGCTGCTTACCACGCCCTTCAGGGTGGTCAGTCATTGGGGAAACACCCGTTAGTTACACGTTTCCTCCGTGGTACCCAGAGGCTGAGGCCAGTACAGTGCACTAAGGTGCCCTCATGGGATCTGGCAGTGGTTCTGGAGGCTCTGTGCAAAGCTCCCTTTGAACCCATCGAAGACACTTCAGATAAGCTCCTCACGCTTAAGTCTATCTTCTTGCTCGCTATATCCTCGCTGAAGAGGATAGGGGACCTCCAGGCTCTTGCAGTGTCAGGCCTGGAGTTTGCCCCGGGCATGGTTAGGGCGTTCCTTTACCCGAAACCCGGGTATGTCCCTAAGGTGCCCACCTGGTCGCCAGGTCCCATTGTACTACAAGCCTTTTGTCCTCCTCCCTTCCAGGAAGCAGGCCAGGAGAGACTCAATCTGCTGTGTCCAGTGCGAGCACTGGACACTTACGTTCACCGAGCTGCACAGTGGCGTAAAGCAGATCAGTTATTTGTTTATTAGGCTGCTGTCTCTTTAACACCGAACGCACGCAGATCTAAAAATACTGTACATGTGTGTTTTCTTTCTCATCTGTTTACGTTCACGTAAGACAAAAACGGCTGTGTTTATGATGATATACTGACGTAGTTTTCTGCATATTGGTCGACAAATATGAAATAAGTCAGTTTCGGCCCGGAACAACCTTTTCTACAGTGGAAGTACACGGAACGGTTCGAGAACGGACACAAACCGGGAACCTGCACCACGCCCTATGTTCTCTGTGCTCGCGCTTGCGCTTCGTGTGCACTGCACGCAAACAGGGCGCAAGTTCTTTCCGTTCCTTCACTTAAATTGCTTGCACTTAAATCGTTTTTAATCACATTAAAATGCGAACGCAGGAATCGTTAAGCAGAATCGAAATGCACGCGTCTTATCGGATACCCAGTTCTTGGAAATTTGGAACCGGTTTTCGATACCCAACCCTATTGAAGTGGCCAGTTTCGAGCACTTCAGTTTGGAACGACCCTTCAATTTGGCGGACATGATTGTTTTCACTCCGAAGTGCCCTTCAGAGGGCGATATATCCCGTTTGGAACGCACCAAAAATCAAATGCTTTGTTCCTGAATGAATCAGCCTTTTGAATGAATCGGTTGAATCTCAATGACTCTCTCATTAATCGTCCCTTGCTGCCACCTACTGGCAGTTTTAATTTCACTTTTCGACTATTTTTTTCATGTTTTAACTTATTTCATATATCAGTATTCAATGTTTTATGTTAAAAACAAAACAGCACAAAAAAATGTATGCATCTGTAACGTCTCGGTTACGTATGGTAACCCTCGTTCCCTGAAGGAGGGAACGGAGACGTCACGTCGGATGACCGACGAATTGGGATCTCGCTTAGAGAGACCAATCTACTTCGAGTG